TCCTCCTCCTCCTCCTCCTCCTCCTCCTCCTCCTCCTCCTCCTCCTCCTCCTCCTCCTCCTCCTCCTCCTCCTCCTCCTCCTCCTCAAGCACTCAACCTGTATCCTTTGTGTCCCCGCCCCTACCGAGACACAATCCACCCCTTACTCTACTCCCCCACCAAGATAGCCACAAACCTATCGGGGCGGGGATCGAGCCACCAGACTTTGGGGATCCGGTAGAGGCAACACATCGTGTCTCACCTCCCTGCCGTATCGTACTCTTAGACTAATCGTTTGCCCACCCGAACCTTCAGGCCCAGTTCCGTCCTCAAAGCCCCTTGGAATCGGCCCTCAGTGTTGCTGGGTAGAGTCCGTTGCCCGGCCTTTGTGAGAGGGTCGGGGCGTGGGGAATGGCATAGAAGAGAGGAGTCAGTCAGCATCTGATGAGAGGAAGGGCGAGCATGCGACCAGCAGAATACTCTCCCAAGGGAAAGCCTCATCTCGAGCGATCATGCACGAAAATTACTGCATTGCCCAGCGGGGTATCTTTCCCGGTCGCGGATAGACCGTGGCACGGGTATGCTATGCAAGTAGAAATAATCCAGCGTCGTCGTAGCTGCATACACATTCGCAGCTGAGCGCTTCACCCATGGCGGGCCGAAGCTTGGATAGTTATACCAGCACAGCTCAGCAGGGTAACCCGCAGCGGTACCGTAATGTACTGGTACGGCAGAGTACAAAATCCCTCATGGGCCGAGGACAGTAAAAATCTACCGAACAACTGCCGGTAAACATGGGTTATGATACTGTACAATACCTATAAGGTCACCGAACTCACATCGGCCCCTCCACCACTACAAATGCCATACTGTAGTTCCCACAACAGCCGTTCCCGTACTTGCACTTGTGCACCGTTCCAGAACACCACCTGCAATCCTCCATCTCCCCCAAAAGCTGCCGACACAACCAAGAGCAAAAGCGCAACCAAAATTCCCAAGCGGAAACCTCCGCAGAGCCGCAACACTGCCACTGCTCTTCCCCTGCCGAAGCGAGCCATCGGATTTCAACTTTGGATATTTGTATCGAACGAACGAACGAACAAACGAACAGGGGAGAGCGGAGCAAATTGTATCAACAAGAATTCCGTAATTAGACTATGCTATGCTATCAACCGTACCTCCATCGTGCAGTAAGAAGAGAAACGTAACAGAAAATGAGAAAGAGGGAGAGAGGAGAAGAAGAAAGAAAGAAAAAGAAAAGAAAGAACAGTATTTTAATTGGCAACGAACAAGGTGAGGCAAAGTATCAATTTTTAGCTCCAAACTTCTTCGCCCTGGCATCAGCCTTCGCCTTCTCGACGGGGTCATCCAGGACATTTTTTCTAGTGACAGGCCCACCACCGCGAACCGTGACTGCACCATTGTTCCCCCTCCTATCCTTCTTGTTCCCTCCCTGACCCCTCCTCCCCCTCCTGCGCTCCCGGGCATCGTTACCCCCAGCGCTCCTTCCAGCACCACCCTCACGAGGACGTTTCCCACCACGGTCCCCACCATCGGCTCCTTCACGACCACGCTTTGGCCGCTCCTCCTTTTTGTCCGGCAGGGCGGTGTCGAGGCCCTTAACAACCACGTCCACATTCTGAACGGCGCCAAACTTCTTCGCGCGCTGGAGCATCTTCTCTGATTCCGCGTCCGCGACACCGAAGCGTTCTGCGCGGCTCTTTTTCTTAGCTAGTTCGGCTGCTGCATCGGAGGATTTCAGACCCGCCGTAAAGTGCTTCTCGGGCGCAGTGGTGGTGGTGGTGGTGGCAGTGGTTGCGGTGGGAGTGTTAGAGGTTGTGTTGTCATCAGTGACGGTGGAAGGGGAGGAGGGAGAGGTGGTTTTTGCCGGGGCATCGAATAAAGCTGCGATCGATTTCTTCTTCGGCTTCACCGGTTGCGTTGGTGCGGATGTAGTAGTGACGCCGGCGACTTCGGGCTTTGGTGCGGAGGCGGTGGTCGGAGGATTTGAAGCGGTGGTAGTGGCGGTGGTAGCGGACGGCGCAGTAATGGTGGTAGTAGTAGCGGTAGTAGTTGCGGGAGCGGTCACGTCGTTGTCTTCCCAGTCAACTTCGTAGTCATCAGCAGTAGGGAGGTGAGCGGCCGCCTTTGGAGTTTCGGCTGCTGGTGTAGGTGCAGCAGCAGCATCGGATGCGACAAGACGCGCGATCAAGTCGGATTTGACGCCGTTAGTAGGAAGTGAGCGTTTTTGAAGGGCGTCGCGGAGGTCGGGGACCTTAAGTTTTGAGTAGTCGGCCATGATTCCTTTCCGTTGAAAAAAAATATGAAAAAATGAAAATGAAAGCGATATGGTGGGAGGGTGGATGGTGGATGGTGGGTGAGTTGTGGTTGACAGAAAATAAGTCCGGGGGAGGAAGGTGAAGTGTGATGTGGTTGTGAAAGGAGGTTGGCAGACAGGGAAGTGCTGGACGCGGCCAAGGTTAGTGTACGGGTTTGTTTTGGTTTAGGAAACGGTTACTTGTAGGGCCTTTATTGCCTATACCGAGATATACCCCTACACTCTGTTATTATGAGAACGGCACCTTGAAATTGAGGGGGACCCACGGGTATGATGCGGTATCCCACAGCGGAAGTCTCAGTAAATTCATGCCATCTGATAATTCCAATTCTTAGGTGTTTTACCAGTAACGTCCCATGCACGGTACCGCACAGTTACTCCAACTCCTGCCATCCAGCCCTCAACACTTTTCACCCCCGTATTCTTATCCTAGGTTTGCAGAGCCGGGCAGGCAAAAGTGGACTCCACCTGTCAAACGGTGTCCAGAGTGTCGAAATGCAATACCAAAAGCCTCTTCCTGTGCACCCTACCCTAGCATCTCCAGCCATCGCCACTCTCCTAAACCATGCCCTCCGAGCAAAGAAAACTAAACACAGAAGAACATTCCCATCAACCACCTCTCCCGTACTGCTTCCGTACCCTGCTCCATGACCCGCCATCACTCCACCAGACCGCCAGGATCCCGATAAAATTCGCGAGTCAACGAAACACTTTCGTCGAAGCCTAGCCCCCCTCACACCAGGACCGTTAATTGACTCCAAATCCTCTTTCTCCCTCCCTCCCCCTCCGGCCCCAATACCATCAAAGTGACCACATACTTGCGCAGAAACCGGCCCTAAAAAGTCTGGTCCCAACAATTTTTCGACCACAAATCCTTCGTTTCCACCGTACACAACCCAAGAGACCATTACAAAAAAAGTACTCTCGGCATGATCGCACCAGAGATCAAACCTGCAATCTCTTGATTCGTAGTCAGGCGCCTTGCCATTGGACCATGCGGCCGATGAGGGTTATCCTCAACATTGGTCAGATGTTTCCTTTAATCATCACACATCACTCGGTATCAGTTCTAATTATCGCCGATGAGATGCTCACTCCTTTGACTGTGTGAATCCGGCCCATTTAGGAGGTTTGTTTCTCCCTGGCTAGTAGATTGTTGGCCCTCAATGGGTAGTCGATTTGTGCTGGAATCCTGGGGTAAGGGCATCTATCACACAATACCGGAATATTGCACCCCCCTGAACGTACGTTCTCTGTTCCCCTGGCACAACGCGTATGCAAATACTATCCTACCCCACAACCGCAGCCGTTATCCCAAAGGCTCTACCAGGATGCGGTCCCGGTATAGTAATTCTTCTGTAAGGAGTGTGATACAAACGGGAAACAAGAGCTGTAGTGGTGGTTCTGGGACGATGGAAGAGAGAAACCCACACTGGGAGCCCGCAACAGTATGTGTTTGTTAAGGTAGGTTTTCGGGAATGTCATAGTAGACAAGTAGGTTCTACCACGCACCTCCGAATCCGCGGGGTTCCGTCCTTTTGGTGTACACTCTCCACTTCTAGGCCTCTAGTGCTCAAGTTGAAGATTCTCTGGTCATGAAAAATAGCTGTCCAATATACTTGGCATCCGTCGCTCCTGGTGTCAACACCACAATATCCTAGAGTTAGACTTCCCGCCCCGCCCACCACCTCACCTCTGAAGGTATGAACTAGCATCTTGCTTGTAAATGGAAGCAGCTTCCCGGAGGAGCCGAGACTTTCCATAGCAGGGGTGATCCAAACGATTCATTAACTCGTGAGGCCGCAGATTGAGCTTGTCCTAGAAACAATTGCTGCTCTAGAACTCCAGACTCTGCTCTCCTTTCCGTCTCTACCGGGTGGAATGGCCTTACCCCCACAGACATAAAAGCAGGGATTCACTTGCACAAAGGTATGTGGAAGCATTTCCTGTGGTTGCATATGAAATTAGGGGATTCAAGTAAAGGGGGTCAGCCACATGGAAAGGTGGTGCTGTACCACTGCTGCGGCAAACTTGGAGTTAGCCTAATCGGCAACGCTTATAGAAATATAGAAGATATGGACGGACAGTAACCCCAGTGGACCCTCACTTGTGGTTGGGGATGATGTACCTGTGGAGGCCTCAGGGATAGGAACCTAGGAGCGTATCTGGCGTCCACGATAAATGATCAGCTTGGGAAGGACAAGCAGCCATTTCTCGTCGGAATTTGAGCTGCGAAAGGGTATTACCCCACTATGCTAGTCCTGGCTAAAAGTTAGCCTCGTAAGTAAATAAGGAAAGTGAAAGAAGTGAAAAGGGAAAGGCAATGTATTTATTGAGCCAAACTGCCAACCTGAGTGCAAGGCGGCGGTCACGGTGTGCGACTTGGGGGGGGGGGCTTCGGTTGGGTTCCATACTTTTTAAGAGATCAAGTCCTTTTTGAAGGAGGGTTTGGAGCTATGCGACGGCTATTAACGATAAAGCGGGGATCCTATCCTCAACACGATGCTTTTGACAAGAGCTCATGAAGGGGCGGCAATTTGACTTGTAGGCATGTTTGCTGCAGCGTTCCCTACAAACTTGGTGTAGCAAAGGAAATAAAAGGGAAGGGATGGCTGTATCGGCGGATTCCATTTATGAGAGCCTGGTGGGAGCTGCGATTGAGTGCACTGTGAGAGCTAGAATGATGAACGATGAGGAACTTTACTAGGATAATGGACTTGCCTCTCATAGTATGGTCCGTTGTGAAGGGGGGTCCTTCCACCCTCGATCCAAAGGGGGAGGTTCCGGACGTCCTCGTGGCGTTCTCAATTACCGGTATTCCAGTTCCTGGGGCATTGCATGGGGTAGCCGTACCGTATGGTGAGTCAGCTACCATACATATCATACATATCAAACACGGTTGTTATCAGGTCCGATGGATTAGATCGCTTTGCGGCTCCGGCAAGCATAATGGCATGAAAATATTTACCACTATCCCAATTAGGAGATAGGTTCCGGGAAGAAACTAGAATTGGAGCATAGCACCCGGAGAAAACCCACTGATGGAAAGACGAAACTCCATAAAATTCCCTTAAAGGAGTTTGACTTGCTTATCGGGACTGTCATACTAGACAAGTAGGGAGGAATTTGCAGGAGATGTACAGTACTTGTACATTACGGGGCCTTAATATTTTCATTGTGACCGAAGGGGGTATCAAATTGAGTGGTGTCGGCGGAAGGTCAGAGGGAGTGTTGGAAATGGGTCGGGTTGTTATTTTGAAGCCAAATACAAGATACAAAATGGCGGCTGTACTCGAGTACGGGGGATGGCGGAGCGTAGGTTTAGGGTTTGTTTGTCGACGGGAGGTATACAACGCTCCAGTGGATGTGATGCCTACATTTTTGGTTTGGACTTCACGGTGGGAGTAAATGATCGCACCTGTTATAAATGCCATGGACTCTAACTGCACTACGGGTATGATATCTGCGTTGTTCTTGAGAGAGCCATCGGGCTAGAATTCTTTCTCCTAGCTGATTGTGACACTAATGAACAGAGGGCAAGTCACAAGTGAAAGAGCGCTGTGCGAAACTTGTCACCCTTGTTGCTCCCCAAGCTTGTATCCTCCCTATCCACCACGGCGCAATGGGCCTCTCTATTGTTCCCAATTGCTGTATTTCCCGACCGCCGGAACATGTCCCCCGTACAATACCGGGGCGGTTACAGGCATTGGACAACCAGTCAGGGCCTGGATTCATATATCTCCCTTCAATTCGCCCATTAGATAGCTCAGACGTGATCACTCGGGGTCACTTCCATGCTCAAACATGATCGTAGGATTTATTGGGTTCCAACACTAGCAGGCGGAATACTGTACCATGCTAAGACAATGTGGATGAACATAACATGAAGCTGTTTCTCGGGTACGGGCTGCTACGGGTTTTTTGAGGATCCCTTCATGGTAACTACCTAGATTGTGCCTCCGGTGCTGTGCCGGGGCGGAAGCCAATCAACCAAGTCCTCAGGATGAGCAAAGGCGATTCCCCTCGAGCCTAGGCCAGCAGGGGTCAGGTCTGAACAGCACGACATAGAGGACGCGGCCTTGAGTGAGGCTGTAAATCGTAAAGGGTACATACCGTGGTCAATATTTGGAGCTACAGGGAAAACTGCACGTACTGGACGTAGTGGTGCTCCACAGGCAACGTATTATATGTTAATGGGTTTTCCAAGATTTTACCAGTTGAATTGGGTGATGTTTTCAGTGACATAATGAAGCGGGTAACTTGGCAACAGCGCTATTCATCTCAGACCGGAGAGCGCTAGAATATAGGGATTGTATAAATATACGGCCAATCGTCTGTGCACATCGTGACCGCAAACAGGCAGACTGGTACCCCTAATGTCAAAGCACCGGTACTTCATGCCAGGATGACTGGTCTCTAGAAAATTCTCTTCGGCTGTTCAATCAATGGATGTTCCGTGTCAGTTATCATACAATACTAAGTCCTGCTCTCATGGCTATCAAGTTCTTCGACATCTGACTTCCCTCTTCATTTGTGCACTGGAGTGCCACCACTCTCACCTTTTCAATGGGACTTCTGTCCGTGATGGGGTAACTTTTGTAGGCATATCCGCCGTCGCACGCTTCTGGATTTCAGCCCCCTTTTCAGATCTGAGTGTTATTCAATGGCAGCCGCATGCACAAACCTATCCATCCCACCACAAGGGGTGACAATGGATGTTCCACTATAAATGGTCTTCTCTTTGGATCCCTCCAACTAAGAATGGTGTGCTCCATACAGATATATACTACAAGAAACGTGTCCGATCATAGCAGAGGGATACTACATGAAACCAGCAATAATGGTAATTCATTGGAAGTACAATAAGTATCTATGAAAAGCAAAGTAACATCTTCATCACCCTGACCAACACAAAAATAAAAAGTAAAAGATGCAGACAAAATTTTCTCTCCCGAACCATCCAAAAACCCCACAAGCATTAGCCCCAGAAAAGCGACATTCACTTCCCATCCTTCACCATAATGGAAGCGGCTTTGCATCTCTCCTCATGACCCGCTAGCGGCACCTTATGGAGCAGTTTTTTTTCGGCTGTGTCTGCAGAGATAGACTCACGGCTATCAAGAACGTCGTTGATAGCTTGGGAGATAAATTTATCGCCCATTTTCTGAACTAGAGGTGATACTGCCTACCGAGCATTTCATTAGAAAGCAGAAAACTTTAAAGCCATAGATAACTTACCCCAACAAAAGCAATTGCAATTGAAATAATCAATCCAACCTGCCATTTCATAAAATTGATTTTATCCTCCAATCGACTTGAACTAGTATCCACCTTGCTGAACTTAATCTGTATCTCAGCGAACTTAGTCTCTTATCCGCCTTCAAACCTGGCGATCCTAGTCTCCATCCCGGCGAACCTGGTCTCCATCCTGGCAAACCTGGTCTCCATCCCGGCGAACCTGGTTTGTACCTTTGCAAAACAAGTCTCTACTTAGGAGCTGAGATTGCTGATCGCTTTGTGTATATCAAGTCCATGGTCTTTGTATTCCTAGAATTGAAATAAGTGAACCAGGACAAACATATATGCAAAAGAAATCTTTCTGGAACCAACCGCATGCTTGTTGTTTCCGGAAATGCCATCGTACTGTTATCATATTTGTTAGCTCAGCTAGTTGCCAGGAGCAGGATAGCATACCGAGTGATTCTTAGTTGATGAGTCCTGTTTTCCACCTGCGTTTATCTGACCTGACTTGGAGTCAATGGCAAATAGCCTCCAGTACTTTGACTAGCATTGGAAGTGTTGGAAAACCTGCTTACGTGCAATGGTCTGCGGGCGGAGTAGAAGCCTAAACATGTCATTCTCACAGATGCAGATGCCAGTGGTGGTGTGGTATTGCTTTCCAATCAAGGGAGGGAGTTCCTACTTAAATGAATAAAACAGGATGGTGGTCAAGTCTCAGAGTTCGGTGTCTTGTGCCGGCGCCACATATCTGTCTGATGGCATTGTGTGGCATAGGTAGAGAGGGTGGCGGGTGAGCAAAACAAACTTGGGCTCAATCACTCGATGGGGTAAACCCGTTCAATATGGTTCGATAGTACTGGTATGCACTACACAATAAACCGTTCGAATACTATTCATGTTAGACAAGAACTCGCATCTGCAAAGTCCTGTAATTTCCCGATGCATTGGGAAGATATTGTAGTCTCTCCCCTGGGCAAGTGCAGAAGCTGTTTGCTCATGAAATATCTGGAGAGAGTGTAGTTCCCCTCTTGCGATGTAGGGCTGGAGCGAATGGGAGTGCTAACGGTGTTACCATACCTTATGAGGACTTTGCCACCTTGAGTATAGAGTACAGCATTCGTACTGCCGTTGAGAGCGTAGGGCCTTTGCAGAGAATTTCCTTCTATTTGGCCCTTATAGAATGGGGAAAGGAAATTCGGAAGTCTGCTGGCTGTTTGTGAGGACTTTACTTTTTGCTGCTACCGTCCCTTTCAGCTCAGCGAGATTCCCGAGGTGCTGGAGTTGCGGTGTGACTCACACTCTGGACTGCCAGCCAGCATCCATTATCCCCTCAATCCTCATAGACGACAAACTCCATCATATCAAACCCCTGACAATGAACTAGGATAGGCTCTCTTACTCAGGAGGTCAAATGAGGCTTAGGTCTTGTCTTAGTACAAAGACACCCCGATCTCCCATTCCGATACTTCCGTGTATATGCAGCCTCCCTCACAAGGCTGGAAAATGGTGTGCAGCTATGTTGAGATCTTTCGGATCGTATCCAGAGGGCATGGTAGATGAGATAATCTATGATATTGAAATTTTATTCTCAGAGTGCACCTTTCCCACAGTGGAAATCGGCAACAAAACAGCTCCTCTCCACTTCTGTGGATTCTAGCCCCTTTATCCAATAATCATCATGATTGATTGATTGATTTATAGAGCCTGATAGCCCGGTAAGACAGGCATATCGGCATGGGAACATTCACACAAGTCTGTGCCAAGGCGCTGTGTTTGAGTCTACTATTGGTATAATACCGACCAGAACGAGCACGGCAGCGCAAGAGAGTGGCTTCTTGGTATCTGGAAGCACGGTGATATTGTCGAGAATGTTCTGAGCACTTTTGAACGAGCGGTGGAACGGCGGTCGCAACGGCAAACGAACAAGGATCTATCGCAACTAGCCAATCAGAAGCCAGCTGAGTGACGGGCTATGAAACGAAACGCCAAGCTTAAGCATGCAAAAGAGGATTTGCACAAGGCTAAAAAACTTTTCACTTTTACTCTCTCACTGCCTCACTATCGCATACTCAGCTAACTAACAGCGAACATAGGAGAATATATCCACCACAGGCAACGCCCAACGAACCACAGTCTCCCCTCCACCCCCCAGGTAAGTCCTCCACTTCCCTCTCCCAAGCAAACACGCAAACTAACAAAGGGAAGACAAACTCGCACCCCCCTCCCATAGGTAAGCCCCCATATCCTCCAAGAAAACGAGAACAAAAAAACTAACAAAGAACAGAAAGACAAACTTGCGCTTCTGCCGTGCGCTAGTCTACGGTGCTTTCCCGCCACGCCTTTCCTGCGCTCCTCCTGCAGTCCTCTACCATGATCCTCCGGTGCTCTTCCGGCGCTTTTCCTGTAGTCCTTCACTGCGCGCTCTTCCAGCGCTCTGTCCAGCGTACTTCTGGCAGTCCTCCGCTGTGCTCCTTCACTCCTGTGCTCTTACCTCCTCCTTTCCTCCATGCTCTCTCATGCTCCCCTGCGCTCCACCGTGCGCTCTCTCCCGTACACTCTCCCAGCGCTCTGCCATGTGCTTGCGAAGCAGACTCCCGAAAAACTAACAAACAAGCAAACGAGTAAAGCAATGCTGTATGGGAAGGAAAGGAAGGAGACTGGGGGGATAGGAAATGGGAATGGGGAGAAGGGGGAGGTAAGGGTATGAGGAGGACAGGGAGAAGGAGAAGGGGAAGGTACCGGGCAGGTGTGGGGAGCAGCTTAGATTTTCCACACTCCCACTCTGCGAACCACACTTGCCCAGTCCCAAAGACATGTAAATAAAAAAATTCAATGCTTTGCGTGCCTGTGTGCTCTGTGTGCTTGGGATGAGGTTTCTTTTCTGTTTCTTTCTGTGTAAGCCAAATAAAAATAAAAATAAAATAACAATAAATCTTCGAGCCTTTCATATCATACCACTACTCGTACTGCCTCGTACTCCTACTGCTTCCACTGCTCCTGCTGCCTCGCCCTCCCACTGCTTCCACTGCTCTCCACCATGCTGTCTTTTCTACTGCTCCCAATTAATGCAAGCCCATCTCAGCCCGCAACCTCTCCACCTTCTCCTGGCTCAAATTCTTGGTTAGGCAGTCTGCAACCATGTCGCCGGTATAGAGGTACTGGAGGACAATTTCACCGGTAGTGACTTTCTCTCTGATGTAGTACTCCTGAATAGCGATGTGCTTGGTCCGGTCATAGAACTCTGGGTTGTGTGAAAGTGCAATGGCCTCCTGGTTATCAACATAGATCTTTGTTGCTGGAGGTGTGGTGTTTGTAGTAGGTTTAGGTCTGCTAGGGATACCGGTAGTGTCCTGTAATTCTGCAATGAAGCAGGATACCCAAATGGCCTCCTTAGCTGCTTGGGTGAGGGCCATGTATTCTGCTTCGGTAGAAGATAGTGCAACTGTCTGTTGCCTCTTGCTTGACCAAGATACAGCTGACCAAGTAGGTTCCATCCCAGCTGTCTTCTTTTCAGTTAGGACACACAGGTATTCTCCTGTACTTTTGCGAGTGTGCAGATCTCCGGCCCAGTCTGCATGGCTGTATAGGACAGGATGTAGGTCTTTGGTAAAGAAGGGACCAAGTCTGAGTCCAAGAGTAGCGGTCCTGCTAACATAGCGGAGTAGGTGCTTAGCAGCACTCATATGGCTGGATTTTGGTGCATTGCTGAATCTGCTCAATGCTCCCACCGCAAATGCAATATCTGGCCGGGTACATAGCATGAGGTACATCAGGCTACAAAGCATGCTCCAGTATTCATGCTCATCTGCCTCTGAATCCTCCACCTCCGGGGTACCAGCCTGAGAGCTGGGTTTATCTTGCAGTTGAGTTCCAGGGTTGAGCAGAGTGGAGACAGTGTATGCATTGGTGAGGTTGAAGCGAGCCAGGATTTTCTGAACATAGGCGGCTTGGTTGAGAGTAATTCGGTAAGGTCGACGGATGATTTCAATGCCAAGAAAAAAAGTGAGCTTGCCCCATATCTGTGACCAGGAACTGTCTAGCAAGCTGGCCTTTAGCTTCATCCACCATTTTTCTCAGTCCTATCCAAAGAACATCATCAACCGAGATCAGTGCCCAACAGCACTCATCATTTTCCACTCTCAAATAAACAGCATGATCCTCCTGACTTCTCTTGAACCCGCAATTTCCAACCAAGTGCTTGTCCCACTCTTGATTCCAAATCCTTCCTGTGTCACGGCCACCCGGCTATATGCATGGGTTTCTCGTTGCATGTATTGGTTGTGGTTTTCTTGGCGGTATGGTTGGATTTCCTTTGTAGGAACAATTAGGGTGTGTTGCCACGCAACGGAAGATAGCAGAACCAGATGGAGGAATCGCGGCTGCGCGTGACGCCAAGGACTTTCTTTTGTATTAGTGATCATGGAGGATTTTCTTGGTATATAAAGGGGTGTGCCCCTTTATCTTTTACATTCTTTATGCAATCTGGTAATCTCCTTTGGACAACCTTACTTTCGTTCCCTTCGGCGACGATCAAGCCTTGCTTCTGATACTTGTGGGGGAGTCATCTGACTTCGCCTAGTAGTCCTGCTCGTTGAAGTTGATGTTGGTGGAGTTGTTGTTTAGTGTTCGTTCGTTTGTGGTACCTGTCTCGCCTTCTCTTTGCTCGTCTCTATCGTGAGGCTGTATGGGCTTGGGAACCTTCTTTTCTGCTTGACGGGTCTTCTCTTCGGTAAAATGTTTCGGCTTTCCTGTACTCGTTACCCCGCAGGATTTCGCGTTCGTTGAGTTCGTTGGGAGTGGTTGTTGTGGGGAGATCACCCTGTTGCTGAGAGGATCGGGCGCCTCCATACTTCGTGTTGGAGTTCTAAGGCCCACCATTTGGTTGTTTCACGCGTTGTTTCCAGCGACACTAACGCCTACAGAGTCGATTGATGACCGCTCTGTACCTTTAACTCATCATACCGATCGCATCACACTTTTACGGTCGGGTCCCCTGCCTGTGTGGGGAATGCCTAGCTGTCGGCTACATACCTCGATCGGAATCCTGCGATGTTGTTTCCTCCCATTCCCATGATGTTTTCCGTTCATGTGGCTATTACGGGTGGTTGTAGGGTCTACTTTCTTGCCCGATGTGGGTGGGAATGCCTTTGACCCTGAACGATTAGCGCCCACTCTTGGCTTCTACGGCTGGGCGCGTGGTGGTAGTGGGCGATTGGCTGCTGGGCTCCCTCGCGTGGGGGCCTGAGCAATAGCTATGTTAGGTGTTGGCAGTCTTGGCGATCACACCCATTGCAAGTGTGATATTCCTCAGCTCGCTTCGCCTGGGGGTGCTTACTCTCTACAGTCGCGGCTGTTCTGAGGCTTGTTGTCATGATTGTTCTGTGCTGGGCCTGTTTCCTTTGGCCTGGATATTCCATGCCTGCCTTCCTGGGCTTATGCTGCCTGGGTGGATGGATGAGTGGACTGTTGGCTGCTGTGTTATATGCGGCCTCGGTCTCTTGAAGTGGCCCTGCCTTGGCCTTCGGGTGGCTGGGTTCCGGTCCCGCCTGGTTATGTTCTACTGGGTGTCCCTGGGGCTGTCCTCCTGACTTGCGAGCTTGATGCCCATCTATATTCCTGCACCCCATGTTCCCTCGGTAATTGGTCTGTTGTTTGTGGCCTTCGCTAGTTGTTCGGGCGGTGGGCTCTGTAGGGCCATGGCTTATATGTGAGGCTGCGGTTGGGCTGTGGCGGTGCTGGCAGATAAGGGCCGACCGTTATGGCATCAGATATATATAGTCGCCCAGAGGTCTGGGTTGGGCTTCGGGCTGATGCGGCCTGATGGCTGGATCGATGTTGCGGTGCGGCGCCTGGGGGCGCCTGGTCTGGCGGACCAGATCCACACCTGATGCATTAGACGGCGCAGAAAGATGGATCATAGCAATGCGCTCGGAGCCATGTTGGGCTAGGCGGGAGAAATAACACTGGGGACATGGTGCCACCTTTCAGGGTATTGTGTGGTTACTGTTACCCCGCGGGGCCTTGGCTGAAGTCTGGATGGTTGTTGATTGTGTTAGGGGGTGGTGATGGTTTTGCTCTCGTT